TCATTAAAATATACCTTTTAATGAATAATTACAATTACGAATGGTTAAAATTATGTAGTATGTCCTTAGAATAATTCTTTTCTTATTGTTATAATAAAAATTAACGTTGTTTTTTGTCTAGAGAAACTTTTTTTTTATTTTTATCGTCGGTTAAAAGCACACCCCAGACGACTTGAAATTGCTTTAATATCTGCGGCTTGATGAACTATCTGTTTTAATTATTTTTTATAGTGATTTTTTTCAATTTGTTTTTTACTTCCATGCTTTAATCCAACGAAGATTTTGTTAAGCTGGCTTTTATGTCTAAGGATACATTTATTTATAATGCTTATGGCTTTAAACTTATTTAAAAAAGTAAAAAAAAAGGATAATTTTTCCATATTTTCAGTTGAGTTGTTTACTTTTGCCGCTAATAATTGGCTTAGTTGCAATTATAATAGCGGTTTGTTTTGCATAATTAATTTAAGGTAAATTTCTGCCTTTATTTTCAGCACAAAGTTTATTTTGATGCAAAAACATTTTTTTAAATTTTTTTGTTGTTGTTTATATTGTATAACAGTTTACAATTATATGAATCGTAATACAATTGTATAAATAACTTTATAAATAAAAGCTTTTCAAATATAAACAAGGTTTCTGATAGAAGATCTCATTGATTTTGTCGTCGGAACCTTTTAAAAGCGTAAAAGCAACAACAACCGCAAAAATAAATGAAAAATTAAATACTATATAGTGCGTTATTACATATTAGAACTAATTCATATCGTTTATAGAAAAAAAACATATTTTGAGTTAATTTTTAAAAAGTTCAAATGAAGTTGATGAATCAAAATTATTCAAAACAATTTTGTTTCAGAGATAAGGTGCACAATATCCAATACAAAATTGATTAAACTTTGTACGAAAAAGTGGTTCATTTAAAGAATTATTATTTCGCAAAATATATTTGTTTATTTTTTTGATAAAAAGGTCTTTAAAAATAGATAGTGTTGAGTCATCTTTACATTAAAACAAAAACACAATTTTATAAATTTTGAATGAATAAACATTAAGGACAAATGAAGTTAATGCCAAAATTGTCGGGTGTTTTAAACGCCTGGCGGGGACCTTAAAATTTATCTAAATTTTTTTTTTTTTTTTAAATGTTATATGTTGAATTGAATGTTTATCACATAAAAAGAGCATGTCGAAAAAATTAAGAAACTAGTCTACAGAATATTTGAAATTGGTGAAAAATCAAAACTTTCTTTCACAAAAACCTATTTTATTACTCGGTGGCGTATAAAAAACTTTTTTTTTCCCTAATAAACTGATTCCAAACGCGGAAAAAACTATAATTTGAATATTTTTTTTATTAGTGTTAAATTAAGTCTAAAAAAAATAATAATTGGATCCATGGAGTAACATGCCCCGGACACTAACCTTAATGGCCCCTACTTAATAAACATTAGAGCGCAATAAATTTAAAATCCGTCAATTTGATCGGAAAATATTTTTAGAAAATGTATATACCAAGGTACTTAAATAATAATTTAAAATTTAACTACTACTTTCCAATGCGAAGACAAAGTATTTAAACTAAATTTGCGTTACTAATAATAAGTGCTCTAATATTTTTTTAAATAATATTCAAAATGGCTAAAATTACGAGACTAAAAGCTAGAGCTTATTTATTTGAAGAAGAAAGCCTGTTAGAAAACTTAACTCAGATAACTTTTGCAACAAATAAAGAACTAATTCTTAACTTTCAGTTTAAAAGATCTAGTAACAAGTTAACTCCATCCAAAAAGTTTATTGGTTGAACTGATGGGCCCGATAAATTCGCAAAGTGCTCCGGACTTGTCAATTGCCCTGACAACTGTATTCTTTTTGCATTAAAAAAACCATGGTTAGACAGAGGTTATAAAGATGGATTATTAACGGATAAATCTATAAGGTAAGTTTTATAATTTCAATTTATAATAAAATAGTTATTATAAATTTGTTTAATCATTTGAACTTAATAAGCTAGTAGATGATTAAGGTTTTTTTGTAGTACCACTAAAACTAATTTTTTTTAGTTGTTATTACGTGTGGATTATAGCATATATATATATAAAGTGCATAGTAAAGTTAATATTTCTATTTTATTTAATGTATTATCGTAATTTTTTCAGGAATAATATTACTCGTTTAATCGATAGTTGGGAGACATTAAAGAAAAGTAAGAATAAGGACTCTAAAGCAGCAGAGAGAAATCTAGGGAAGAATTCAAAAAGAAGGGGGAGCAGGTATTTTGGATTTGTAAAGAAAATATTAAGGAAATCTTAAAAAAAACGAGCCTTGATAAACTTTCATACTATGTTGATATCAAATTTTTAAAAGACCAAAAGTCCAGTCGTCTAATGTCTTTGGGGAGCAAAGACATGAGATATAAAACGGTAAATAAAGATAAGAAGCCTTTAAAAAGTTGTAATATTAAACAGTTACCCCAAATAGACGAATCAACTACAGATCTAGAGCTTTTCTCAGATATCAGTGACGTTAGTACAGAATCAGATATTTCTTTTGATTTATCGCAACCCGGCCCAAGTAACGCAAAACAAGAGTTAAGGAAAGATTTTGTTAAAGATATTGCCATGACATCAGTCTCAAAAAATATTTCATCAAGAGATCTAGTGCATGTATGTATGGATTTAATCGTAAGTTCAGGCGGAAATGTGGCTGATTTTTCAGTGTCTCATTTAACTATTTGGCGAGCTCAAAAAAAATCTATTCGGGAAAATGCTGAACAATATAAGAAAAATGTAAAAATTGCTACCGCTAAAGCTACTTTTCCCATAAAAGCACATTTTGATGGAAAAATTATCGAAGGCATCGCAGAAGGTATAAAATCAAAAAGATATCGATTTGCGGTCTCGGTAAATATTGATGGTAAAATGAAGCTCCTTGGCATTTCAGCAATTGATCGTGGTACTGGACAAGCTCAATACGATGCTTTAGTTAAAATACTGGATGAGTATGGAATATGTGGTGACGTGAAAGGTTTATGTTTTGATACAACTGCGACAAATACAAGAAAACTTTCTGGTACAAATGTCAGGTTTAGTCATAAACAAAACTCAATTCTACTAGAGCTGGCTTGCAGGAGGCATGTTTATGAGTTACATCTAAAACACTTCTGTGAAAGACAGTGCAGTGGAAAAACTAAATCTCCAGAAAACCTAATGTTTAAACGGTTCCAATTAAACTGGAATGACATTAAAAGTAGCATTGACTCTTCAAAGTTTGTAAAATATGATACCCAATCTATTGCTACCACTTTCTTAGAAATCCATAGACTCGATGCTGTAAAGTATTGCGAAATTGCTCTAAAAAAAAAACACTTTTCCCAGAGGAGACTACAAGGAGTTATTGAAACTGACTCTAATGTACTTATGCCCTGAAAGAGATTTTCAAATTCAAGCTCCATTGTGAGTGTCTCATGCACGTTTTACGTCCAAAGCTATTTATTATCTCAAGATTCAAATATTGAGTTTGCAACTTTCTTATGAATTGACAGATAATCAAAAGAACGAAGTGCAGTCTACGGCTGAGTTTATCTCAATCTTTTATACCGTCTGGTTTTTAAAAACCTCTTTACCTTACGCTGCGCTTTACCAAGATATAAAAGCCTATTGGCAAATGACAAAATATTGAGGTTACGTAGAACAATATGTTCAGAATTCTGAAACAATTTTAAATGGAATTGATGCCACAATGGTTTCAATGGAATCACATTTATGGTACCTTGATGAAACTTTAATTCCGCTGGCTCTTCTAGACCAAGGTATTTCTGTTGCAGAGAGAGAAGATGTTGCAAAAATGCTCTTTTCGAAACCAGTTCCTGAATTTTTTCGGCATTCCGAGAAATTAAATTTGTTAAAAACTCTTAACTTTAACCTAGAAAAACCACCAAGTATTGCCCAACTAGTGGGAGAAAACTCTTGGTTCATATTTAGTTTGTTAAACCTTACTAAGCTAAATGATAAACTTTGGTTAAACAGCCCGGCACCACTATGGGAGTATATTGAACAGTTTAAGATTTTTTCCCACTTTGTTTCCAACCTTGCAGTGGTTAACGACGTTTCTGAAAGATCTATTAAAGTTGTATCAGACTTTGTAAATAACGTTCACAATGAAGACGATCGACAGGAGTTACTGCTAGCTATTCACCAAAGGAGAGAAAACCTTAACAAGGCAAAGACTAAAGAAGATTTGGAATTAGCATATCAAGCAAGTGCAAAATAAATAATATAGTTTTTAAATGATGGCTTTTATTTAATGATGTAATATTGATTTGTAAATATGTATATTTTATTTAATTATACTTAAACATATCATTCTTTTTTTTTTTGATTTTTTACAAAACCAAAAAAAACTTTGCAACAATACCAAGAAAATCATTTAAAGTTGAAAAGCTACCATATACTTTCTAATCTTGAGGCGATAAAACTAATAACAACAATACCACTTTTAACCATGCTGCAGTAAGTTCATTAAGGTGGTACTTGGGTGAAAAAAAAGTAAAAATTGAAAATTTCAAAGTGAATGTTTTTAAGTAAACTGAGCTATACAGAAAACGCCTATGTAATTTGTTTTATTTAAAATAATTCAGATGATACTTAACTTTCTATTTTAAAAAAGACACTCTTAAGCTCCAACTCAACTTTCGTAGCAACGCAAATAGCAACCAATTTTGATTTACTGAAAGCCTCTAAAAATATGTGTAAAAACCCATGGTTGGGTTGCTTTAAAGTCATTAAATTGTTTTACAGAAATATAAACTTCATGCAAAACGTCACTAATTAAATTCATGTGTACATGGGTTGGCAAAAGAAACTATCGCTCAAATGTCGATCAAAGTCCACTTGTAATTATGAGTAGTTTGCGTAAGGTATAATTATGCCAGTTATAAAATTTCTAAATGCGCGAAATTTAAAGAGGTTTTTAAAAGAACACAAATATCGAAACGATTAAAAATGGATGTGTCAATGAAAAGGTAGTTTTAAAAAGTTATTTAGGGTTTCCATAAGTTAATTTAACAAAGTATGAATGATTAAAAAAAAAAGACTAAATAGTAAAATCGAATTGTTCACTAAATATTACAATAATAATAATACAAAAAAATTAAAGTATTTAAAAAAAATTAATATTTTTTTAAATTATAAGTCTATATATATTGGCTAATCATTGATAAGCCTATATATAGGTTCATCATTGATAAGCCTTTATCAATTATAATTATCAACGATATATATTAACTTATCAAAGTCTATATATATAAAGGCTTATTATTGATAAGCCTATATATATGGGCTTATTGTACATACAAACTTATTATTTAGTTCAGATTTATCAGATTATGATGACATCACTGATATTTCAAATGATGAAGCAGAAGATTCTTTAAATGTGCAAGGTTATTTGATTAATTTTTTATGATTTATTTGATTTAAATTATGTAAAAATATTAAAGTATTTGGTACCAAATGCATGTTTTTTAAGTTAATAAAACAATTATTAGTTTTAGAAAAAAATACAACACACATTTGCAATTCTATTGAGGAAGCTTCAAAATGTCTTGTTTTAGATAATGAACAAAACAACATATTAGGTTTGCAAGGTTTTTGTTTATTTTTGTTATGAGTCAATTTGTCATAGTTATACTGAAATTTTGATTGAATAAAAAGATTTAAACTCTAAAAATGGATCAACATTTAAAATTTTAGATAACATGTACATTTACATTTGTGATTCTGTGGAAGAAGCTGATCTATGTCTTCAAAATTATGAGATATATAATTCTGTTCGGTTTGCTGCCTTTTCAACCCCAAAGAACTTTGGTAATACAGGTATTTGAATCAGTATATTCGGTTTGATTTTGAAGTCTTCTAATCATCATCTCCAATCAACTTGACTGTTTTATACATTTTACACACATGGCTAGTTTTCCTTTTATTTGATAGAAATAAAGTTTTATTCCTTTTTTCCACTTCATTGTGAGCTTTATTTCTATTACAATAAATATAAGTACATACTATTCAAAACAGATTTTATAAGTTAAATATTTATTTAGATATGCATGCTGATAAGCACAAAGTATTGTGGGAAATGTCCTCAGACTTTTATAACACTCCTTTTATTATTCTGTTTTTAGACAGAAATATAGACCTGCTTTTCGGCTTTTATTAGCTTAAATTTTTATTTATACAGTTTCTAATTCTATTTATCAATTATTATTGTAAAATTCGAAAACAGCCTTTCATTCAGTCTATGTGATAATTTATAAATAAATTAATAAATATAATAAATTAATGATTATAATTGATTTAAAAAATACATCAAAATATATTGAAAAGAGTCAGAGCCTTAGAAAAAGTTGGGAATCAGAGTTTGTGCAATACATTCCAAAAATCCAGAGTCAGAGCTATAAGTTTGAATAAACTTAGAGCTCGAGCCATTCATCCCCACCCCTACATATTTAGGTGCACTATTAATGATAATGAGACATAACAAAAAAATTAAAGAATACAAAGACACAAAGCAGAGTTTTTAAATTATGAGTCTTGGCCTTTATTTTACCTTTTCACATGTTTTACTACCCAGCTAACACAAAACGTTCAAGTATGTTCGATGAACATTGCAAACGTTCAAGCACGTTCTATGAACATTCGTAGAATGTTCTTGAATGTTGGCACATTCGTTGAACGTTTTGTATTAGCTGGGTATATCCTCATTGATCTTTGCTGTCTGACAACCTTCTAGCAAATGATTGGAAAAGCAATGAATCCAAAAACATTTTGTCTGGACAGTTAAATTGAGCCGGATTTGCTAGACTCAAGACATTGGTTGTCACAGGTCTCAGTCAAATGTCTTTTAATAACAGATGTTACTTTAGAATTCAAAAAGAACTTAAGTTTCAAAAAGGTTAACAATAATATGAAAATAATAAATTTAGTGGTTTCATTCTATGTAAATTACTTGTTTTTGTCACTTGAATGTTGATGTAAACAAACAAATTTTTTTTTTTTTTCTTTAAGAAGTTAGACCATTGGTACAAATCTGAGTACTTCATCATTCAGGATAGTAAAAAATTTGAATGCCCTGCAAAGGTTAACATGAAAGAGGTTGTGTACTTTACTAACTTAAAGGTAATAAGTTTTGTCAGCGTTTAAAACTTTCAAAATCTCTTTAAACTATTTTTTTTTGGATTTTTTTTTAGGTTGTTAACCCAAGTAATTATTACAAGAGGCAAGTGTCTAAAAGTATTCACAATGCTTTGTCACAACAAAATGTTATGACATATTCTAAAAAAATTAAAGTTGAGATAGACAACTTAATATGTCACAAAAATCATCCTCTTGGAAAGGTAAAATTACACAGCTTTTATAGAAGTTGTAGGTATTTTGATAATTGCATTTGCTTTAACAAGTTGTTATTTTCTATAAATGTTTACTTAAAAAGTTTACATCACTATGGTAGTTAGGGTGGTCCAAAAAAGTCAAAAAAGTTTTATATATTTCAGAGGCATATTGTTTGTTATGTTCATTTTGTTCTAAAAAAGCCACTGTGCAAAATATTACATAGTTTAGACTGTATTTAGAGGTTGCTCAATGCTATCAAAGTTTCAAAATATACATCAAATGAATCATATATAAAAAAAAAATGCAAATTGCAGGAACAAATAAATGAATTTAAGACGGCTTTCACAATTATCAATTAAAAATAAGTCTTATCATTGACGGTCGCCTCATAAGCTCGCAGAGCCTCTATCCAGACTCTGGAGTAAATCAAGATAATGAAGAGAGACACTTTGTGTAGACCAGTCTCCTCACTTTTTGTCAGTTTCATTTGCTTCTGGAACAACAAGATTTCTATCGCATAGATAGCCTTGCCCATCCACCTGGCATGATGGTATGCAACAAGCTTCCAGATTGGAGCACATAATTATCCGGTCAGAAAATACAATGACAGTTGACACAGTTCGGCATAATCATCAGGTATATTTTTTCGAGCAAAGCTAGACTGCATGGAGGTTAGACATCTTTTATATTTATCAAGAATTGTAACAAGTTTAGCAATGATTGTGCGGGTCTCTATAACTGGAATACATGCCTTTGTCCACAAGAACAGCACTTCGTCAACGACTTGCTTGCGATTGTCCTAACTGTTGCTTTCAATAAAGAAGATACACTTTAAAATATTCTGTTGAAAGGAATCGCTCACCAAAATTTGCAAATGGTTGCCCAATCAAATATATTTCTGTTGCTTTTCGTGTTGGTATATTTATTGCAGTTGTAACCATTTTTTATTCTAAATTATTTGACCTGCAATAAATTGTGCAAACAAACTCTATTAAAATGAATGAAGAAGTGTTAATGCAAAAATTCCGTAATTAGTAATAATAATATTACCAAGTAAGGGTGTTTAAAATTGTATGTAATAATTATTCTAGAAGTATACTAAGTATAGTGCTGACATCTACTGAATGAAATTAAATTTTCTACAATATTCCTACATTGATAATGAAGCACAATGATTAAACACAACAAAAATACACAGTCTGCACAAAAACTCTAGTTTTTAAAACTTTTTTGGCAAAACCATAAAATATTATAGACTTTGATATGCTTGAGCAACCCCTAAATATATTTTTTTCCACCTGAAACTTTGCGCAGTTCATTTTTAGACCAAAAGTAAGTCAACATGTCAACATGTCTTACATAAGTCAACATAAGTCAACCCTGAAGTCAACATAAGTCAACATGTCTTATTAATTTAAACAAAAAAAAATGTTAAAATGGACCACCCTAATGGTAGTAGAAAACTATATCAGTAAAAATATTGTTTAGAGTGAACTTCTGTCTCAAAAAATAGACCATCGGTTGTCAAGTAAAATTTCTGAGTTTGTTAAACAAGGTGTTTCAAATGTACGTGAGATGAAAAGAATTTTGAAATTAACTGTTGATGAGATGTTTGGAGAAAAAAGTCTTCCCACTCCTAACAACCGTAGATTTTATCCAAGAAATGATATTATCCGTGCTCATATAGTTATGGAATGTAAAAAGCTAGGGTAATATAACATCAATTGAGGAGTGGACTCGCAAAACCCTACAATTCACTTTTTTTTAATTCTGAGATAATAGCAAAAAATGTTTTCCAGTAAATCAAATCGCTAAAAATAAAAGTTAATCAATAGGTATTATTAAAAGAATGTTTAAGGCAAAAACTTGAAAATTGTGCTCTTTTGATCTTAGTTTTATTACATTTTTAAAAAAACCTATTATCTGGTTTTGCATGCCAATTATTTTTATATCTGGTTTTGATCGGAAATTTATTCCTAACTAGTTTTCAAAAAGGCTTTATAAAGTCAACTTGACTAGTAACGATAATAATCAATATAATTATAATTTAATAATCAATATAATTGTGCAAAACACCTCTCTGTGAGTGTGAATTGTGCAAAACACCTCACTTTTTTTTCAATCTAGTTTTGTACAAACAGAATAATTTAAGGCAGGTAAAATGTTATAAAAATAGTTGCTTTTAAATAATTCGTAAAGATGTAGGAATATTATTACTACAAAAAAAAATTGCTCAGTCTTTTTTTTTTTTTAAAGTGAATTCTTTGGTTTTGCAATTCTGCTCTTTAATTGTAAACTTATTTTCAAATAAAAATTTAATAAAAAAAGTTTAATTATGTTTTCTACATATTTTTCTTTAAAACTTTATCCTCTAAGTCATTCCATCCATCAAAGTCATCAAGGAACCTTTATTCTCTCAAGGAATTATTCAGATATATCTGTATAGTTTTTTCAGCTTTCAGTTTGTATTAAAATGTATTATTTGTTATTAGTTAGTTTCACAATATCATTTATATGTCATTATAAAGAACCAATCAAAAACATTGAAGTGTGTAAAAATAGATGTAAAACTTACACACATCATTATTTACTATATTGCATCAAGCATCAAGGTTAGAGGTCGTAAATTTACAGACTTTTTTATTTAGTGCTTGATTTAGCAAAAGTTAAATTATTTGCAATAATTGAATATATATATATATATATATATATATATATATATATATATATATATATATATATATATATATATATATATATATATATATATATATATATATATATATATATATATATATATATATATATATATATATATATATATATGTATATATATATATATATACACACACACAATTATAACAATATTAGACAATATTTTTGAATCTTCAGTAATGTAATAATTTATTATTTAAGATAATCTTAGCAATATAACTAGAAAACTGTTTTAAAAACAATTTAAAACATTTGTTGTGTCATGCCAAAGTGCTAAAACTACAGAGTAGTGGGCCAGCATTATGCAAACACCAATGACATATCTCATAAGTATGTGCTCATAAGAGTACTCAACACTGAAGATTCTCTAGTATAGCCTGATTCATGAGATTAAATACAAGATTTGGAAACCTGAGAATGATGGGTTATGGTGTTACACAAAATCTTTTTATAATAGTTTTTATAATAGCAATGGTAAACAGACAATTGCTTTCTGAAGAATTTTTTTGGTGGATAGACATGGAACTAATGATTATGATTAGATATTGGAGTAGCACAATAAGAAGAAAATCACAAAAGTAGAGTGAGATTTGACTAGAAATCATTGAGATGAAATAAAGGATTCCATGCTAGCCTGTATTCAAGAAATAACTTAGGAAGCTTATCTGTTAGCAGAAATACAAATTTTTTTTACCTAAAGCAAAAAAAATCAAAGACAGAATCCCATTTATATTTTAAGGTGGTTTTAATATTTTTTCAATTAACACATTAGTTTATTTTTTAGATTCTCAAACATTGACCAGGAATGCTTAGAAAGCAAAATAAAAGAGTGGAAGAATAGAGATGATTCTCTTAACATCCATTTTGAACCAAAAGTGAGTGAACATCAAGATGAATTCCTTTTTGTTTACCAAGCAGGCTGGCAAAAGAAACTGCTCAATAAATATGGGAATGAAATGATCTTTTTAGATGCGACATACAAAACCACTCGGTATTCGTTGCCCTTGTTTTTTTTAGTTGTAAAAACTAATGTTGATTTCCAAATTGTAGCAACATTTGTTTCAGAAAATGAAACCTTTGAATCAATTAAAAAAGCATTGAATGTAATAAAGTATTGGAATATTGATCTGAAACCCTTATATTGTATGACTGATTATTGTAATGAGGAAATACGAGCTGTGGAAACTGTTTTTATTGGTTTGTTTCTTACTGTTCATTTACATTTACTTGCTTATAAAAATGATTTCTTTGTTTTATATTAACCAATCTTAAACACAAATTGTTTTTGAAATGAGTGTCATGCTGATTATAATTTCTTAGTTTTGTTTTTTTATTAGGATGTGAAGTTTTTATATGCGATTTTCATAGAGAGCAGGCATGGGATCGTTGGCTTAAAAAGATAGCAAATGGTTGCTACAGCAGAAAAGATGAAATTTTGACTATATTACGAGGTCTTGCTTGGTCAAAAACTTGTGAAGAGGAGATAAAAGCCACACAAGTGTTAGAGTTTTCAGAATTCTGGAAACTTGAAAGTTTTTCTAAATTAAAACATTATATTGAAACGTATTGGTTGCCAATAAAGAAGGTATTTATTATTAAGCATGACTCAACTCACTATACTTTTATTTGATAATAGATTTTTTTAAAACCTTTACATGGATTGAGTTTGTAAAATAAAATGCTGTTTTAATGTAGAAGTGGATCTGCTGCTACAGACAAAATCGTCTACTAATCAGTTGTAACACAAACAATGGTGTTGAGAGGCAAAATGCATCTTTTAAATATTCCTATTTAAAAAGATACAATAGTTCTTCTTTGACTGGAATGTTGACCTTATTGACTGAGGAATTTTTCACTGATAAACTAGAAAGGTTAGTATTTTTTTCCCAAACATTTTCTAAATATTGAAGACAAGGCAACTAACATTTCTCTATGACAGTATACTTTTTCTGTACTAAAATTTTAACTTCACTTTAAATAAAGAAATAATGTATTTTATTTTGTATAGAATAATGTCTAAAGTGTTGGTAAAGTATTGTATCTGCAAATTTTAGTTACACTGACTTCAACTTCAAAATGGATGCCCGATACAGAAGATACGCTTGTTGGGTGCCAAAATATCTCTACAATCGCCCACACAGTTTTGTTAAGCATTGCTTAAAGCGAAAGTCCACCGCTGATTGCATGGATTTAAACAAAGTAGTTATGATTAAATCTGGTATTTTTTCAGTATCTAGTACCTTTGATACTTCAGTTCAATATTTTATATCATTCGGTGATGAGATCAGTATGCCAAAATGTACCTGTGTTGATTGGCTATCAACAGCTTACTTATGCAAACACTTTTTTGTTGTATTCCGGAAGTATCCTGCATGGTCGTGGAATGCATTGTCTGTTCTTTATAGGAATTCTCCATACTTGAATATAGATTCCGAAAATTATGAAATAGAGCATGAAAAAACAGCTTTTAACTCATTCAAGGCATTGTTGCCTCTAATACAAGAACAGACTGTCATTGTCAATCAGAAACAGTCATATAAAAATACTCAACCCATTTATTCTGGTGTAGATGTAAGGGAGATGTTAAATACAGTGAAAAATTTATCATTTGAGTTTGATGAAAACTCCTTTGAAATCATGCTACTGCACAAAACTCTTTCTTCACTTATTGAAAAGTTGAACAAAGGAAGAGTAAAAGAATCAGGTATTGCTGTTCGCCGGTTAAATGATAAATCAAGTAATTCATTAAAGAAACACATCCAAATACCTATTCGGAAACCAATAAAACTTCCATTTAAACGTGTTGGATCTAGAAAAGATGAGGCTATAGCTGCTTCAAAAATATTTATTACAGAAGAAGTTTACTCAACCGACACATTTAAATTAGAAATAGTTGAAAAATCCATTGACAATAATAGATTAATGGAGGAACAGGTAATTTTTCTTTCCGATAACGATGAAGAATGTTTTGAAGCAAATGTAGTTTATAAGACTAATCTTTCTGCTGAAGATTTGAATGATATTAAAACCAACCAGATGTTATCAGACACAGTGATCCATTCTGTCCAAAATATGATTAGTGGTGTTAGTGGCTTACAGGATCCAGTTTTGGGTCAAAATTTATCATTTCATGCAATCAAAGAATCTTTTGTACAGGTTTTGCATAATGGTGATGCACATTGGCTAACAGTTAGTACTTTTTGGTGTTCTGATGGTGAGGTGTGCCTGTTAGACAGCATGTTTCATGGTAAAGTCAAAAATCATGTCATCAGGCAAATTTGTGCAATAATGCAGTGTACCAAGGACATTTTAACTGTACGAGTTTTACCTGTACAGCAACAAGCAAATAGTATAGATTGTGGCTTGTTTGCATTGGCATTTGCGAAGCACATTGCTTTTACTGGTTTGAATCCATGTTATATTGGATTTGCAGATGTTGATATGCGAAAGCATTTACTTCAAAGTATTTCAGGAAACCACCTAAATGAATTTCCCAAAACTTCAAAAAAAACAATGTTTTGTAAAGAAAAGAAATTTAAATTTAATCTATATTGCATTTGCAGACAAGTATGGACAGTTTCAGATAAATTTATAAAAGATAGGTTAGTGAATTATCTTTAATGGTATCGTAGCACTTATTGTGTCAATCATTTCTTATAATTATATTTTTATCTAGTCATCTTTATTATAGTTTTCATTAGTATATTTGTACGCAAAGCAACATTAAATTTAGGCATATGGTACAATGTGAAAAATGTGAATGCTGGTTTCATCGTGCATGTGAAAATATACCAGAATATGTGTTGGCGCATGAGAGTGCTGAATGGCTTTGTTCGAAGTGCTCCATAACTTTATAGTTTTAAATCATCAATAATTTGTTTGCATAACTATTTAATTATTTTTTAGAATTTAGCAATTTAGAGTGTTACTATTTTGCAAGTTTACTGAGGTATTTCTTTAGTTGTTTAGAGTTAATTTTATTTCTTTTTTTGGGTGAATCTTAATAATTTTAATGTTTAGAGTTAATATTATTTAGTTGGTTAGGGTTAAAGTTATAGTTGTCTAGAGTTAATGTTATTTAGTTGATTAGAGTTAATGTTATTTAGTTGCCTAGAGTTAAGGTTATTTAGTTGATTAGAGTTAATGTTATTTAGTTGCCTAGAGTTTAGGTTATTTAGTTGATTAGAGTTAATATTATTTAGTTGCCTAGAGATAATGTTATTTAGTTGCTTAGAGTTAATGTTATTTAGTTGATTAGAGTTAATATTATTTAGTTGCCTAGAGTTAATATTATTTAGTTGCCTAGAGTTAATGTTATTTAGTTGCCTAGAGTTAATGTTATTTAGTTGACTAGAGTTAAGGTTATTTAGTTGACTAGAGTTAAGGTTATTTAGTTGTCTCGAGTTAAGGTTGTTTAGTTGATTAGAGTTAATGTTAATTATTGTGTTGTTTAGAGTTAATGATGTTACTTTTAATTTATTTTTTATGCTTTAATCTAATAATTTTTAAACTTTAAACTTGTTTTCTTACTAAACTTAGGACTTAAAATATAATGTTTAATGTTGTAAAGATGTTTTACATTTTTTATAGAGGTTTTTAAGGCAAGTGTCACATTTGCAATTTTGATTGGTATATATGGTTTTTCTAAAGTTATATATGTGAAAAGGTAATTTTAGTATTTATTCCAATTTACATTATTATAAAACGTTATCATTATTATTAACGTCTTTAAAAACATATACGACACCTTTTGGATCTTTAGTCATCCTCTACAACATGACAAAAGCCTTTGTAACATAGTTGTACGATGAACGGTATATTGTGTAAAAACCGTATGATCCATTAATTAGGCAATGTGAACACACACATCCTAAAGGTTGCTTTTGTTGTGTTTTTTTTGTTGTTGTTGTTTTATTAGTTTATCTTACTCTTTAGATAGTGTTATAGCAATTTTTTGTTAATTTCGAACTGTTGTATCATTAAATACCTTTTAATTACCCTTAAATACATTTTCTTTTATATATGTTATACCCCGTTTAATTTGATAAGTTTGTTTATAAGGTAATAATTTATAAACTTCTCGATTTTTTAGTTAAAGATTTGATATTAAACATCTGAAAATAAAATGTGTTATTTTAAAATGTATTTTTTTAAAAAAAAATACTAATAAAAAAGATATTTTTAAAATCAATTTTATTTACGTGTTTGAAGGGTGGATCTTGAAACAAAAATTTAAAACAAAACATTACCTTCTACCAACTGAATGTATTAAATATAATTAAATAATACTAGCTTTATAAAATTAATAAAAAATAATTTTAGGCAAAGACCGATCCTAGCCAATTTTGATACCGATTTACCGGTTTTATTTATAGGCGCCCAAAGTTTTAGCTTAAACTCCAGCTCGAAGTATTTGTCATTTGTTTGCAAAGTGCAGTCTTCTACCATTTCTAGTAACATGTGGCCTTGCTATTTTTGGCCTTATTAATAAGTCTGGTTTGAGCTGGATTTACCTATTGACAGATTAGGTTAATCCGGCCCATGGATTTTCCAAACTTGGACCTGACGATTTTATGGGTTTGTTAAATAGGTTAAATTTTAAAAAGGAGAATTTTTTTTTAGTCTTTTAGTTTTTGCAACTTATAAATGATGCGGGCCTCAAATATTGATTCTAATTAAGGCCTAGGAGAATGTAAATCTGGAATTGATCCTTGGTGATATCAACAGACCAGCACATCAAGTTTACAATTAAACTCACATGGAGCGCTTTCAACTCTGAGAAAATATATTATATGGTCAGAGTAGGCATCAAACCTTGGAAAAAGTATTTTAAAACCTACCCTAGTTATTACATAACCTACTACTTAGTCACAAGGATCATGGTTAGGGTATAGTTTTAAGTGATACTCGTTTTGTGTACAATATATTTTTACTGTCACTAAGGGGTGGCTTTTTCTTTAGTCATTATAGAGGTTTATAGCAAGTTCCATTTTATTTAAAATTTAAACTACCACATGCTTCAATTTATCTAGATTTAATAGGTTAAAATAAATATTTTTCGTTGTGTTACTTCAAGCCGTTTTAGAAACCTAAGCTTACTTGTCAAAGCGTAGTTCAAGAACTTCGATTTAAATTTGGCTTTTGGCACGCGTGACAGTAAATTTTAACACGGGAAAGCTATTTTAATTATAGTGCTCAGAGACAAGACCATTATGTCTTCCTGGAACTTCCGTTGAATATTTGTTTCAAATCATACTACTTAAATAAATAGCCTAATTTTTCAGGCGATTGAAAGTATTAAAAATTGAAATGATATGTTTTGTAGAATATTTGCAATTTTTAAAGTAAATACTTTGTTGGTAAAAAAAATCTAAGCTTTGGAATATATTCCTAAGAGTCTTATAGATTTTATTTTATATTAATTTGAACACTAGCACTTGGATAGAAGAAATCTTGATACCTAGGTAAAACCACAACTACTGAATTCTAACCGCAAGCGGGCTAGGCTAATTGATACACTTTGTTTAAAAAATTTAAAAAAAGGCATGTTAATTGGTATTACAATTTTATAGCTTGAGATTGATAGAAAAAGTTTTCATGATTGAGTCAAAGTTTTAATAAATTGTAAAAATCTTGTATAACTGTTGTTGTTAATATATTGTAAGACAACTTTTAGTTTTATCCCATTGAGATCCCATTGAACACCATTGAGATATGTGGTAGTTGAAGGAATCCCATTGAACACCATAGATATGTGGTAGTTGAAGGAATCCCATTGAGATATGTGGTAGTAGAATAGTGGTAAAACATTTGGCAATGGTTGACATTCAAATCTATCCTGCGCTCTCTGAAAAATTTAGAAAACTCTCTTTGCATAACTGTTGTTATTAATATATTGCAAGACAAGTCATGTTTTTGCATTCTCAGTGCATTTTTTTATTTTGTTTAAAAGAATAACTGTTTTATAACAAGATTATTATTACAGTAGAATCTAGTAATTGGTCTAGATTGGCCAGTTCAATTCCGGCCTTAAAAAGTCAACTTCGACTGTGCTTATGCTGAAGAACTTTTTCTAAAGAACCCAAGAACAAACAAAAAGGGATATGTAATTTGATTCTTTTGAATTATTTCTATTTATTTCAAATAGCTTAAAATCAGTAGCGTAGAAAAAGAGGGGTTAATTGGGAAATAGGCTTAAATAGGCCAAAAAAATAAAGAAGCCAAAAATTGACTGTTAAAAAGGCGCATTTTTTTCATTATTGCCCAATGCGCAAAAATCCTTGCAAAGCCGAAGCTTAGGCAGGAAATAAGGAACCAACTCATTTAATCCTAATCTTATATATCTGGATAAGTCCATTTGGTTACTACCCGGTGGGAAATGAGCTAGCGACTAGCTAGCGACTAGCTAGCTCTATAGCGATTTTCTAGCGATTTTTTTTTTCTTATTTTATTTTTTGCAAATGTCTTTAACATCTTTAAAAATTCGATTTTTAGTGTTGAGTCTATTATAACTATGAAAATAATTGAACTTTAAACATTGCAATTTTGTAGCAATGTGTCGCTAGCTACATATCGAGGCTTTGTAGCTAGCTACAAAATATCTACAAATCTATACCTGGTTGATAGCTACATATCAAAAATTTTTAGACAGCGGTTTTATTACGATATGAGGCTAGGTACAATAGCCAGTGGATCTTCAGCTTGTTAAGCTAGCTGTCCTCGTAGCCAAATCGCTGTCTTTATCTTTACAAAAATCGATTGCTTTTCGCTAACTTAAAAAAGCTAGCGATCCTCGTGGCCGAGTCGCTATCTTTATCGTAACGATTATAGCTAGCTATTCGCTAGCCGACTTTCCACCGGGTAGAGGTCAATATTATATGGTTATTAAATTAACTATTAATATTTATAATCATTTTTTATTAGAGTTTCTTTTTAAAAATACTATTCTATTCAAGAAACGCATGTTTTATGTAAAGACTAATAAAAACGAAAAGAGTTAATTCTATCTAAGACCGCTTTGAAACAAAGTTCCATCAAGGAAATTTCTTTATCATCCATTGAAAAATCAGATTTTTTCATAATAGTCTGTTACTTTTTTTTTGTGAAAAAAAGTGAAAAATTTTTTTTTTGTGAAAAAAAGTGAAAAATTTTTTTTTTGTGAAAAAAAGTGAAAAACTTTTTTTTTGTGAAAAATTTTTTTTTTGTAAAAAAAAGGAAGCGAATTTTTTTGTAAAAAAAAAGTAGTGAATTATTATAAAAAAACTTGTTTTTTTTTTTAAAAAAAAACAAGATAAAATAACTAAATCAAATTTCGAAAAATCTATTTCAATACAATATTTGATGGATTTAAAAAACTCATTTAGATTGTCGACTTAGTAACAAATAGAAAATTAGTAACAAACAGTTTTTGCGGTTTTCCATAAACAAAAGCTTTTATAAACATTTTAAAACAATCGGCATATTTTGCATAATTATACCTTACGCAAACTACTCATAATTACAAGTGGACTTTGATCGACATTTGAGCGATAGTTTCTTTTGCCAACCGTGTACATGACATTTAAATTGTTTAAAAGTTGAAAAGCTGCAAGTGAAATAATATTTGTTTACGTTTTTAATCATCGTTTATTTGATTTAGTTACATGGTTTTTTATATATTTTTTTTAAGCTTTGTTATAGTTAACTTAATTGGTTTTTTATTTGTTATTATTTTCTTTTTATGTTCAAGTTATTTAATTATAATGTTCATTATTAAAGAAAAACAACAATGAAAAAAATTAAGCTTAGTTACACTTTTTTGTTATTATTCTTTTTTTATTCTTTATAGTTGTAATAATAATAAATATTAAAAAAAGAGTCAAGCTATGTTACAAAGAAAATCTGGCCAAAGCATTTTCTAAACGGACATTCAAAGGTAACCAACACACACAAAAACACAAGAAGAACCAGCTGAGATTCCTCCTTCTAACCCACCTATTTCTTCAAATAAATCTGTCATATTTATCATGAGGCACATCATTACCTTCTAAAATCACTAATGAAGCCAGGTCAACAAACTTTGCATCACCTTCATTCACAAATGACACCAGTTTGTTTCCTTGTGTAAATTCTTCAAACCCAACTGTATATTATTGATATTTTATACTTTTTTATATTAACATTTTTATGGAAATTAATTTAGTTGCAACATGCCCTGAATGTGACAAAAAGACTATGAGTCGAACATTTAACGTCTTGAGAAAGCAAGGCTTGTCTATACCATTATTGTTACAATGTTCAAGTTGTTGTTGGGGTGCAACTTTTCATTCAAGTAAAGAATGTAAATGCAAAAGCAGTCGTGGTAGACCTGTTTCAGGTTTATGTACGTTTTTTTATTGCTATGAGGGAAATCTGAAAAAGTTATACCAGTTTAGAAAAACTCTGTGGATGAAAAAAGTAATTGGAACAGTGCTTTTCTATTGCTCTTAAGCAAAAGATATTATAAGAATATAGATGGTATCAAATGTGCCCATGTACTCCTGATAGTTGCTGTAAATATCAGGCTGACAAAATAAATGGCATAGCAACATACAAACATAAGGGAGGAATTACCAATTGTTGTCCTTGAAGAAATAAAACCTGTTTTTTTTAGGTTTGAGTGATGACAATTTATAAAAAAAATATCTTTATGGCAAAACTCAAAATAACTAATAAATAAATGAGTCACTAAATGAAATGATTTGGAAAGGGTTTCAAAAAGATATCTACGTTTGTAAAACCACTGTTAAGCTAGGTGTAGCTTCTGCAGTTATAAATTTTAATGATAGTTCAAATAGAACTCTAAAGGTTTTAAAGGGCATAGGTATTCCAGGATTTTATGCAAATCAGTTCTGTGTTTCAAATAACAACCAAAGAGTGTCAATGTCAATGGAAAAGAAATCAAACAAAGTATATTCAAAGAGTTCATAAAAAGTTTGATAAATACTAATCAATCAGAAGAAATAAAGTATGGTTATGGTTTATATTAGAGATTTTTATTATTTTTTATTTACGGTGATCAATCATAAAAATCTTTTTTTTTTTTTGAATCTTTAAAAGAAATTTAGTGATATTTTAGTATATTATTACTTAAATTGCATTTATCTCAAAATTGAATTTATTGAATGGTGTGTCATATAACTTTTGATTGATTTGAGCTTTATTCTTGAAATTTTATATGGTGGTTATTTTTTATAAGATACAGGTTTAGAACCAACATTTTTTGAATTTTTTTTTTTCGGTCCAGAGTTACCCAAGCCCAAAGTTTTATTTTTAAGCCTTTTTATAAGCAAGGTATTTGAGTTTTATTTACCTTAGATCTAGTTATGCAATCAGGCTAATTCTGCTCCCATACCTGTAAAATTATACTATAAACAAACTGTAAAAATTTTGTTATCATTCTACAGGTGGTTTTTTCTAAATTTGACGCACCGCAAAGTGACCATTTTGAGACCTTTGGACCCAAAAAAAAGTTTTCTGTAAAATTTTTTCTTTTTTTTTTTAAAAAAAAGGCATAGTTACCTGTATATAATTGTTGTACCAAAATATCAAATTTAAATAGTAAGAAATAAAGAATTTGGATTTTTCACCCAAGTACCACCTGTAAATATGTATTTTTTATTTAATTATACTTAAACATATCATTCTTTTTTTTTTTTGATTTTTTGCAAAACCAAAAAAAACTTTGCAACAATACCAAGAAAATCATTTAAAGTTGAAAAGCTACCATATACTTTCTAATCTTGAGGCGATAAAACTAATAACAACAATACCACTTTTAACCATGTTGCAGTAAGTTCATTAAGTCTTTTTTATAGTAAAAATAACTAAAATAAACAATTGTTAATAGGCTATTAAGGTTAGCGTAAGGGATAGGTTACCTCGGAGGATGAAAGAAATTTTATTTAAGACCTATATATACCTCATTTGACACTATTATTAAAAAAATCTAGGTTATTGATTTTTCCGCGTCTGGAAACAGTTTATTAGAAAATCAAAAATGTTTTTTATACGCGATTGAGTGATAAAATAGATTTTTAAGATGGAAAATTTGGATTTTTCACCAATTTCAGAAAATTCTGTAGACTAATTTCTTAATTTTTTCAATATGCTTCATTTATGTGAATAATATTCAATCCAACATATAACATTTAAAAGAATAATAAAATAATTTTCGATAAATTTCAAGGTCCCCGCCAGGTGTTTAAAACACCCATCATTTTTGGCCCAAAATCGAACTGGCGGGGACCCTAAAATTTAAATTTTTTTAATTTTTTTTTGCTCAAACTTATTTTCATACAAATGGTCAATTTATAAATTGATTCGCGAGTTCGATTTCAAAAATTGATAAAATATGAAACATCCTAATATATATATATATATATATATATATATATATATATATATATATATATATATATATATATATATATATATATATATATATATATATATATATATATATATATATATATATATAATATATATATATATATATATATATATATATATATATATATATATATATATATATATATATATATATATATATATATATATATATATATATATATGTATATATATATATATATATATATATATATATATATATATATATATATATATATATATATATATATATATATATATATATATATATATATATGTATATATATATATATATATATAAAATATATAATAAATGCAAAAATATTAATTTTTATATATAATTTTTTTAGAAAATTCTATAAAACTTTTTTTCCTGTCCAGGAAAAAATGTTCCATAGAATTTAATATAAACTTTTGAAACATATGACCTATAGAAATTCTATAGAATTCTATAGAATTTCTATAAAGTTTCTATTAAGTTATGAAAAAATCTTATTGAAATTTTTTTTTCTACTTTTTTTTTATAGAAAAAAAAGTTTTATAGCAGTTTCTATAGAAATTAATAGACATTCTATAGAGTTTCTATAGGCCTATGTTTCAAAAGTTTATAGAAAATTCTATAGAACTTTTTTTCCTGGGTGGGGATGTACAACAGTACAACATGTACAATAGTACGACTTGTACAACATGTACAACAGTAGTACAGGTACAAATGCAGCAGTACATTATACAGCACGGTGTACAATGCACTGTGCAGTGTACAATTTACAATTGTACATTGTGCAGAGTAAATTGTACATTTATAGTGTATATTGTTTTTTACAAGTCAGTACAGTGTTTCAGCAGTGTAATTTATTTTATATTTTTTGTCTTTTATTTTTAAAAATGTTTTCGCTATATTCTTGGAGGCGTTTCTATTAAATGGGCGAAGGAGCCATATAATACAACTTTGACGTTTTCTTTGTGGTGGATCTTGTTTAACATTATATCTACGAAAACTGTTTCATATTCTTTATTTTTTAGCGTTTTTTTGTTAGTCTGGCGAAATTTATTATAAATATTTTTGAGAAAAATTTATCTACATTAGATTTTCTATAATTTGTAAATATCAAAGTTTTATCTAATGAAAAAAAAAACATATTCAAACATTATGTTTGCTGTAATAAAACAACATAAAAAAGAGCCGGAAAAGATTCAAAAATGGTTCAATTTAGTAATAATCATTTAGAGTTGAAAAGTTATAACCATTTCAAATTTACAACCCCTTTAATTCGGGGAGGGTTGAAACTTTACATGATCATAACTTTCGAAATCTAAAAAAATTTTAAAAGAAATTTAAAATCTGTGAATTTAAATTCAGCATGAGATGTTAAAATAATTTATTTCAATAACTTGTTGCGCTCACGTTCGAGATAAAGGGCCCAAAGTTTTGGGATACTTTTGTTCCCAGGCTCCAATTATCGCAATTTTTTTTCAAAACGTTGTTAATTTGCTTAATCACAAACTTAAGTTTGTGATTAAGCAAACACTGTACTGTTTTATATATATATATACATATATATATATATATATATATATATATATATATATATATATATATATATATATATATATATATATATATATATATATATATATATATATATATATATATATATATATATATATATATATATATATATATATATATATATATATATATATATATATATATATATATATATATATATATATATATATATATATATATATTTATATATATATATATATATATATATATATATATATATATATATATATATATATATATATATATATATATATATATATATATATATATATATTATATATATATATATATATATATATATATATATATATATATATATATATATATATATATATATATATATATATATATATATATATATTTATATATATATATATATATATATATATATATATATATATATATATATATATATATATATATATATATATATATATATATATATATATATAAATATTGCACAAAGCTTAAAGTATCTGCAACACCAATAAATCCAATATAGGTCAAATAATCCACCAAAAAATCTAAAATACATCGATAAGAGTGGTCAATTCAATTTTGGTGTCAGAAATAAATTCCAAGACCTCAAAAACACATGACTATATGTAGATGTATTTTTTTTTTTTTTTCCAACTTTTGTTATATTCTTAACCGCCGTGCAGTGCTTTGGTTGTTATCAAAAACTCGATAAAAACCAAAGTTGGCTTATACTTTGATGGTTATCGATTTTTTTTTTTCTGTTTTATTTATGCTTGGTCTTCATATGAAATATTATTTAGCTACTGATTGAAGGCATTGTAAAAAAGCTAGTTTTTTTTTTTTTTTAAACATTATATATTGCCGTTTAATAAGTATTACAGTTTACTTAATTTACAATTAAGCTAATAGCCGGAGCAAGAAGAAGACATTAATTTGTCTTATCGCCAAGTACCGTGTTACAATTTATATTTTTTTACAAAGTTATTGAAGAATATGTAGTATATAAGAAAAATTGAATGTTTACAAGAATATAAAAAATAAAATAAGATATCGTTTAATACATAATATCTTAAATTGATAAGATTAAAGTAAAAATGAATATGTATAAATTTATTCACACATTCGCACACTCACACATATAAGCGAACATATACCCATATATATGAACACACACAAACACACATATATAAATATAAATATATATAAATATAAATATATATATATATATATATATATATATATATATATATATATATATATATATATATATATATATATATATATATATATATATATGTATATATATATATAATATATATATATATATATATATATATATATATATATATATATATATATAAATATATATATATATATATGTATATATATATATATATATATATATATACATAAATAAGTATATACATGCACATACATAACTATATATATATATATATATATATATATATATATATATATATATATATATATATATATATATATATATATATAT